CATGTTCATTCAACTTTGAACTGTCAATTCTCTTCATTAATTCTTTTCAGTGAGGCCGACATCTTCTTCCATTCAAATGATCTCTTTGCTGCAGTGTGTTAAAACAGGCGTGCGCGCACGATTATCCAGCATGATCATGATTAGGCCCGGCCCTAACCAATTTGGAGCCCTAAGCAAGATTTCAGGTCAATTCCAGTAAATTCCACTGCTAGTGTACATATACTCAAAAGACACTTATTAGCTTTGTCTTGGACATTCTTTCATTTTAATAAAGCAAGTATATATTCTAAATACTTAGAAATTTTTGCAACTCTGGGATACCTCGAAAAAATACGCAGCAATTATGCATTGTGAAACCTGTGTAAGTTTTGCAAGTGGACAAAACCAAAATTAAAACAACATGATGATGATCTTATTTTATCTAAACATGCTATGAAGCAGAAAAGAAGGATGAAGAGTCAGGCAGGTAAGATTAGGCCTAAAATAGTTCACAATTCAGGTCTAAAATGACAAAAGATAATTCTCATTCATTCATTCATTCATTTATTTTTGACTTAGTCCCTTTATTATTCAGGGGTCGCCACAGCGGAATGAACCGCCAACAAGCATGTTTTACACAGCGGATGCCCTTCCCTTCATATGCTATGGCCAATTTAAGTAATCAATTCACCTATAGTTTTTGGACTGTGGGGGAAACCAGAGCTCCCGGAGGAAACCCACGCCAACACGGTGAGAACATGCAAACTCCACACAGAAACATCAACTGACCCAGCCGTAGCTCGAACCAGCGACCTTCTTGCTGTAAGGCGACAGTGCTACCCACTGCGCTACCGTGCAGCCCACAGATAATTCTGTAAAACATATCTTTTTGTATCTTATGGAATTGTCAAATTAAATTAATATTCTTGCAAAAGACTTCTTAAATGATCTTAATACATCACTCCAGTTGTCTTTGTGTTCCAGTTACATTAAGGACAAATTTCTGTTATTTATTTAGAATATTGATTGTATAATAATAATAAAAATAATTTTCATATATATATATGAATGCAGGGTGGGGGGGCTTTTGAGGATAGGTCCTGGTCCTCAGTTCAAAAGACAGTGATGATGACATCAGCATACAACTATGCATAATTCTGAGAATCATTTTAAAATGAAACATTTGAGATGATTAATTGTGCAATACACATATTCTTGCACTCTGTCATTGACTACATATAAATAGATTCAGAAATTTGTCATTATCAGATTCTCTCTTGCATATTCAACATTTAGGGCAGATATATACTGCTGCTCACAATCAGTAATGTTTATTCTCACACAGAAGACTCACATTGTGGACACAGGCACTCCTAATCTCTACAATGTCTCTCATCAAAATATTACCTGAATATTAATTTTTACACAAAGTCATTCTATCTTTAAAAAGATTAAATTATTGCTTGAATTTGTGGACTTAGTCCAGTGACTATCCATTCTGAATGTTGACTGGATTTGAATATAACTCTACATTAAATCCATTTGTGCTTATATTGACTTAATATAATATGCAACTCCAAGCAAAATTATTACAACATTTTTGCTATTCCATAATTTAATTACTGTAATTTTACACACTCTTTATACTCTCCTAACCCTACCCTCAAAAGCAGAAGCTGATCTGGGATCTGGGATGAGTTTATTATACGGAACGCGTTCGTCAGTCAGCATGCATAAGCTACACTGATTCAGAAATGTGATGGTCGACGCACATCTTTAATATAAAGAAAGTGAATGCAGACATTTTTATATTCATTTTAACGTGCTTTCAAGCCAAAATAAAGCAAAAGCACAATTCTCTTGAACAGCTCTTCCAGTTCTATCGCATTTGAGATCAGCTGTGTTGACGGTGCTTTCACTTTTCATAGAAAGATTAAACATAAGGTGGAAATATTGGAAAATCAATCGGGATGATAGCGGGATGTCTTTACAAGAGTCAGACAGGAAAACTTTGAATATTACAGAGTCCGTATTTGAGAAGCCCTAAATCAAGCGCTGAACGCATCTTTCTCTGGCTCCGAGCCAAAAGCACAAAACTTTGAATCTGGCAGTTATTTGTGGATATATTGACACCAATATAAACAACAAAACAATATCGCCAGTATGTTTTAACATCATCCCTACGATATGAATATACAATTCAAGTAAATAAGCTCCTATCTTTTTTTGTTTTCTTTCAACATGTCGGTAGAAGACAAATTATTGCTGATTTTGAAGACATTATTGTCCTAGACCTGCCACGCATTGTGTGATATGGATATTTCTGTTTACACGTTTAAGGTGATGACGTGCTGCTGCTGCCTGCTGGTACGGTGCGGTGGCATGAATAAAAGCTGGCATGCAGCCAAAGAGATTGCTTAATTCTTGTTATAGTTTCATGCTGTTATTTATTAATTTTTAATATCTTTATTTGTGTTGGAAATGATGTGGACTCGACTGGACTCGTGATATTTTCCGAGTTCAAAATGTTCAAGTCCGAGTCAAGTCCGAGTAACAGTTTCCCCAAGTCCGTGACAAGTCCGAGTCCAATCATAACTGGACTCGAGTCCGGACTCGAGTCCGAGTCCAAGGTCGAGTACCCCAACACTAATAATTAAGCCGAAAAAGCCGAAGCAAAGCAAACACCATTTTCTATGGTATAATTACAGCACTACAGAAGAGAGAGAGATCGAATTAGAATGTCACTTACCTGTTTTATAATGATTTGTTCAGCTGTAGTTTGAAACATACATTGAGAAAACACTGAGTTTTTCTCCTTCTATAAGAACTTACTGTAATATGCAGTCTCTGTCACCATCTTTGCCCTGCTCGGTATGACAAGCTGATGACAGCCGATGTGCTGAATCTTTGAAATTATAAATATTTTTTAAATAGGCACTATCCTTATAAATAAACTGCATAGTTGAAAAATTATTAGCCCCTTAAAGCTATACATATATTTTTCCTATAGTCTACAGAACAAACTATTGTTATACAATAACTTGTTAAGTTAAGCCTTTAAATGTCACTCTATGCTATATAAAAGTGGCTTGAAAAATGTCTAGTAAAATATTATTTACTGTCATCATGGCAAAGATGAAATAAATCAGTTATTAGAAATGAGATATTAAAACTATTATGTTCAGAAATGTGCTGTAAAAAAATCTGCTCTCAGTTAAACAGACATTGGGGAAAAAATAAACAGGGGGGCTAAATCCGACTAAAGTCATAACTGAACTAAACAGAAATGGAATTAAGACGCGGAGTATGCATATATTAGTGGCATTATTAAAGAACACCATGATCAATCTATTACCATCATGTAGGACGCAATATTTTTCGACAAGATCCACACACACGGCTGTCAGTACAGCACCACACACACACACACACACACACACACACACACACACACACACACACACACACACACACACACACACCGTGAAATGCTGAACTTTTTTTCTTTCCATTTGGTGTGCGTTATTAAATTCCATAACACTCTCACCAGTCCTTACTCCTTACTTGCATCTAATACCCCAGTTTGTCACGAGGGCATGAATGAAGTGTTTATGAGTTAAAGTGAAACTGTTGAACTGCAATTGATTTGATTTAGAAGGGCACTTTTTTTGTCAGACGGCGCACCAGTCATGGAATACATCTGCACTAAAATATCAAGGTGAAAGTCATCATAGCTTGCACAGAATAGACCCAGCTCCCAATCTAACTGTGAAAATAGATTAACGGCGATATTTTTATTTATTTGTTTAACGCAGATAACGGCCCACCACTAATATATATATATATATATATATCCTAATTAGAGCTTTTTTACAGCAGGGTCTTGATTCATATAACATTCTTCAAAATAAAAAGTAAAAAAATCATAGTATGATAATAGTTAATAGCTGTAATTTCCTTATTATTATTTTTTCTGTAGGGCAACCTTCCTTACATTGTAACATTAATTTAAAGTATTAAAAAGAATGTCAAACTGTAAACCTTAACAATTCTTTATCTATAACTATAGGTTGTATAATTGCATCAGTTGTTTTAAAGGTACAATTACATTAATACACTGCCGTAAAAGAAGTGTAACAATAACTGTGTGCATTTTATACATCAATACCTTGAATAACTAAGAGTAAATAACTTTTAAAACTAAAAAATAGATTTCTTTTAAAAACAAAATCTACATTAAAACAAACTACAAATTGTAAGCTACATACAATAATAATACTAATATCATTACAAAAGTGTACTTTATTAACTACCAAATAATAATTATAAATATATGTATACAAGGTTGACAGAAATTTTACAGTAAACTGTTGTACATAAAACAACAAGATATATGAATGCTTACCAGACAAAAGAAACTAACTGTTAAATGAATGTAATATTTAATAAATTGATTTTGTTAGAAATTAAATTTCCATATTTGTTAAATGTCAAATTTGTATGTTTTTTGGATTCAATAATTATTGTGATAAAACAGATTATTGTGAAAACAGTATGTATTCCTAAATTGTATAATTTATCATAATTCATAAAGTTTTCTTTTCAAATAAATAAAAAAAAAAACATTTTCATATATATTTTTAAGTATCCCATTTTAATTTAAATTTACACTTGATTTGAAAAATAGTCAATTCTGAATTATGCCCAACCCTGGTGACAAAGTGACCCTTGTTTAGAGTTATTATGATTTTATAACTCATAATTCGTTTTATAAAAATTACCAAATCACACAATTCAAACTTCTTTGAATGGAGTGTCACTAATATTCCTTTAAAGTAGATCCTTTTGGTTTTCCTTATCGTGAGTGTCGTCCTTGTGCATTTGTCTATTGTTTCCCTTTTTATAAAAGTAGAGAATGGTCAAATGCAGCACAGATCAAGACTCAATAAAAATATTAATAAACCCTAGCTGACTGGTTTTAGCCCAGGTCATAGTTGAATGTCAACCACTTTGTGTTTCAG